GCTAACAGACCTATCCCTAGCTCCAGTTTCAAGAGAAATCTGGGTTGATTGAATTTTATGGGTTGGAATGTTCTCCCCCAAATTCCTGTGCTGAAGTCGTACCCTCCAGTACCTCAGAATGCGACCTTATTTGGAAACAGGGTCGTTCCTGACATTATCAGTTGAGGTGAGGTCATATTGGGTCGGGTGGTTCTTAATCCAATTGGACTATTGTAAAAAGGAGCAATTTGGACACAGCCACACACGCACACAGGAAAAACGCCAACTGAAGGGACACGCAGAGAACACAGTCATCTATGAGTCAAGGAGAGAAGCCTGGAAAAGTTCCCTCCCTCATAGCCATCAGGGTAACCAAACTTGCCAACACCTGGATCTCAGACTTCTGGCCTCCAGAGCTGTGAGACACTACATTTCTGTTGTTTATGCCACCCTGGTTATGGCACCTTGTTATGAGAACCACAGCAAATTCAGACACTGAAGATCATAAGAGGGTAAGATGGCTACTCAAAGTGTCAACAATGAATGAGACAGAAACCATGAGTTTCTTGGAGTTTCTCTGATGGAAAGTCATATTGCCGAGGAAAAATGTGGGGTGTTCTAGTTACCAAACAGCTACAGAATGACACTAGGCTTGCATTGGCTTTACAGTATTCACCTGATGAGCTCTTTTTCTATAGAGAGGGCTGCCAACTCATAATTCGGAGTAGGGTGAGCTTGGAAATCCACAATCCCCCTTCAGACAACTATTATTACCCAGCCACTTGTGAACTGTCACCTCTTTTAAATTACCTGAAGTTGTCACAACCCCCAAACTTTATATTGCATCCAATCTAAATTAGTTTCACATTAGAAAAAAAAAAAGACTTTCTGGAGGAAACGTCAACTTACTTGCTGCCACTATCCTCTTGAACCATTGAAACCCCAACTCATTTCTGAGATTATAGCTGGCTTAGCAGTTATTTCTCTTGCTTCCCCACCAATACTTTTCAAACTGATTTTGGAGAACAAAAGGTATCGAGTAGCCTGAGGGTGGGATGGGATGGGGGGAGGGGAACCAACTCCATCTAAAAAAAATATTCTGGATAGGGAAGACACCCGATTCCTCTGATTAAAACTGCTTTACGTGATTTGAATACATCAAAACAATTTAGACTTTTTCCTGGAGCATCCTATAACGAGAGTTGCCTTGTGTCATGAATATCAACTGCTCCATACCTAATGCAGTGTTTTTTATTTTGCTGAGTCACCACCAAAATCAGGTTGGCACTTGAGACAGTTCAACCTGCAATGCACTAGAACAAAAGTTCTTCAATGCTCTCAGAGGGCACACTGCTTGTGACTGGCCCTGGGAGAGAAAAGCCTGCACCAGCTGCTGAGCAGGAACATGACCCTTTCTAGGAGACATAATCTGCCCATTCCCGGGAAAGTCCAATTTCTCTATAATCCATACTTTCCAGCACAGAGCTCAAACCCAGCTGGGTTCCAAGTGGACATAACAGAACTGCAAAAATTTGGAAATACATCCTTACCGAAAGCATAAATAGAATTATAATTGGATCACCAGCAGGCCCAGAGAAACACATCTGAGCTAAACCCCTTAGCTGGTATAAACCAAGAGTTCTTAGTCATGCGCTCTCCTAATGGTGCTGATGCGTGGGCCTGTGTATAAATCTATGATAAGCCCCCATAGCAGCACTGTGGTCCTGCATATTTAATAGATACATTTAGCTCCAGCAATCTTCTGCCAGAGGGATAAACTATAGTCAAGGTATATATCAAAATGTATTAACACCTGCCCAGAATCTACATAGTAAGCAATGACTTCTAACTAGGTAGTAAACTATGACTTCTGGACAGAGGCCGATGCAATTTAGAATACCATTAAAAAGAAAATAAAACATGGATTAGAACAGTTCTGCGTCAGTTAAGGCTGAATCACCACTGGGGTTGAATCATCGCCGAAGGCTGAGTCATCACCAAAGGCTAGCTGAATCGTGCCTCTGTTCTGACGTCCTATATCGGAAGTTTAAAGCTTGGCATGAAAATAGGTTCCAGCAAATCATTCATGTGAGAGAGAACGCTTTAAGTTTAAAACATTTATAAAGAAAAAAAAAAGTTTACTGCCAACAGCATGAGCCAGTTACTTTTACTCAGACATAATGGTTTGCCTTCATCAGGGGATGTGGTGACAGCAACATTTGCAAGAGGCAAGACCTTGTAAATATTTACGACATCTCTCACCACGAGGACTGAACTCAAGGGTTACTTTGAAGGAAAGATGAATTTATCAGTACTATCCAAAGAATAGTAAAAGCTAGGGCAGCCTATGAAATCTTAAATGATAAGAGTTTATTTACATTTAAGCACCACAAACATAAAGAAAAAGAGGAAGAATGGAATCTTTGGCGTTACTGGCCGGCAAAAGGTTAAGGAGTCTATTTCTTCCTTACCGCCCCAGCTTTTTTTCTGGTGGTACCCAGGCAACAGAATCCAACATCATGACCTTGAAAGGCAGAAGCATAGTCATCCAACTTTTCAAAGTCCACCACTTCTTGATTCTAGACGACAAGGACAAAGCTGTATATAACTTGATGTTATTAAAAGACAGAGGAAAATACCCCTCTTAGATTTAAAGAATAAGTTACAGAACATTATTGAAGAGGCTGCCCGCTTACCATTAAATTTTGCGAGCTCTCTGCTCTGGCATCTCTTTCTCTTGCCAGTCTCCTTCTATCTTTTCCATGTTAGACTATTTCGCAGGGCAGATTCCTAGGTACGGAAATTGCGATGCCGCATAGTGTTTCTTTTACTTAGTAAGAAACCTCTGAAAGGGCCAGAGAGGCACTGGTATAGAGTGGCAGAAAGCTGGGGCATTAGACATTAAGCATGGACACATTTAGTACTTTATACAGAATTAATAAGGTACTGGGTAGTTTTTAAGACCTATTACCACAGGATTGTTACAGATACTATTTATAAAATTGATACTTTGCCGGGAGAAAAACCGAGTTTAGTAACATAATAGAAATTCAATTAAGGAAAATGCATAATCATATTTTTTAAAAATTTTGCAAGCTCATTTTCTCCCACTAAAAAGTTATTAATCTGAATTCAAAATCAACAATGCACTTAGATGTCCACAGTATATATAATTGGACTATAAGTGATCCCTAGATCTCTAAAGTCAAGTTCAATTATCATTTTCTCTCTGGAAAAATAAAAGACCTGTCTATACCACCAGAAGGGATACCAGTGAGGTATAATTTCAGGGCAAGGAACGGTGTTTGGAACCTCAAAGACCTAGGTTCGACTCGAGCCTGCTACTTACTAAGCCTATGATTTTGGCCAAGTTATTTACCATGTGCCTGTTTTTCCACCAATAAAATGTGAATGATAATCTTTCCTTCAGTCCAATTCATGAACCACCTATTTTAGAATCGGCCAGTGAGTGTTTGATAGAAAGGCTTCTTCTTAGGTGTTGCACCGATACTTCTGAAGCAAAAAATGCCCTTGTAATAAGCACCCTCAGTAATTTTCATGCTCACTCAGGTTTAAGAACCTTCATGAAACCTCATAAATTTGTTGTGAAACCTAAAAAAGAAAGATTGAGGGATGCCTGGGTGGCTTAGTTGGTTAGGCATCAGATTTTGGCTTGGGTCATGATTTCGTGGTTTGTGGATTCGGTTTGTGGGTTCAAGCCCCGCATAGGGCTCTCTGCTGTCAGCCCACTTAGGATCCTCTGCCCTCCTCTCTTTTCCCCTCCCTAACTTGTGTGTGCACCCTCTCTGTCAAAATAAATAAAGACTGGGTAAAAAAAAAAAAGATTGAGAAGTTCCCATCACCCAGGAGTTCAAATAAAATGTAGTTTTCCTTCCCTAGTAACAACTCTTTCAAAAGGATTTTCAGGGCACTATGTGCAATGCTGAAGAAAAGTATGTTCGCATTAAGTGCATAACCAAAAGATGTGCCACCAGAACTCATTTATCAAAGCACAGAACTCAATTTCCGTTTTTAATTACCAGGAGTATTTGACATATTCCATGAAGGCAGACTATGAAAACTACTTATTACCTAAGTCTGAGCAAAGATGTCCATTTTAAATAGAAAAGTCCTGGTGGACATAAGCTCTATGCAAAATGACTGACCGTGGGTATTCGGGGGGTTAAGAACATGTATAGTGAGACACTTGTTACCTAGAATGTTCCACCTGTGAAGCCTATGGGACCAAGTTCTGTAGTTATGGGGTCTCAGAATTACATTATAGTTTAATCTGCCACAGTTCACAACTCCCTTTAAATGAGGAAAGGAATCTCTACAAAGCTCAGACTTCAAATATTTAGGGGAATCTGGCATGTATCATTTGGCTAACCATGTAAGCGTGGCAGTGCAGAGAATATTCCACTTACATCCACAAGGCTGCAGCCCTGGGAAGTTAAGAGGGCAATCTTATAAGTGAATAACCGCACCTTTCATTGCCATAAACTCTGCTTGCAATTCACTGATATCAGCATTGAGTGGACAGGTAAACAAGACAAGCAAAGTGGTTTAGAAAATTGCCCCAGGTTACAGGTCTGCTTCTAGAACCCAGCTTGAATGGCCCTGAAAATGTGCTCTTCTCTGTCCCCCCAGGCCCCATTACATTCCAGGCCGGCCTTACAGGAGTCTAGATTGAAAGAAGGGCTTTGCCCAAGGTCACACAGTGAGTGGGTAGGCTGACCTGGGCTTAAAACCGCGACAAAACTTCCAGAAAGGGCTCTCACAGACCATTCTTGGCCACATTCTGATCACCTCTACCACTGCACAGGCAATGTTCAGCCTTTAGGCTTAAAAATATGTTCACTCCGCAGAATCGCTGCAAACACATTTTTGAGTCCCAGCTAAAATACCCACCACATTTTTATAAGCTTCCTCATCGAAGGTGAGCTTTCTCCGGCCAATGAGCGTGACTTTGGAAAACAGGTTCTGTTCCAAGATTTCTTTTAAGAGCACTCTGCCGGTTTCCCCGCTGGCCCCCAGAATAAAGACAGATTTATTCTGCATCCTGAAGTCTTCCCGAAGCTTCGGCAGCGCCCCAGTCTCAGCCATGCTACAGAAATAACATCGACAGATGTGGTCTTGGGATGTTTAAAGGATGGCCCTTGCTTATCCTGGGGAACAATGGTGGTTTATTTGTTCTAGAAAACAGTATTATTTTTCTCCGCAGTCTGGGCCCAGGGGAAAGTGCTGAATCACCTGCAGGGCGTGGCGCCCTGGCCGTCCCGGCACCTGAGTAAATCTACTGCTCGGAAAGGGCCCTAAGGAGAATGCGCCCAGGTGCCACGGCACCCATGGGCCTGGTTCTCCACCGGTACCTCCGGTTCCAACCCCTCCTTCCTCCGCCCACTGGGATGCAGGGGCCTAGCTCGGTCCCCTGCACGGAGGGGTTACCTGGAGCCGGCCCCCGGCCCCGCGTCCTCAAGCCACAGCAGGAGCAAAGCGGCCAGCAGTGCCGCCGCCGCCGCCGCGCTTAGCGCCGCGGGCCCGGGAATCAGGGAATCCCCCCTTCCCCGCGTATCCGCGTCCCCTCGCCCCATTCGGCGGATGCCCCTCCCAAGTGCGCGCGGGGGTCGCGGGCGGCCGAAGCGCACGCCTACCCGACTACGTCTTCCGGTGACTTAGCAGAGCCGCTGCCTCGCCCCGCCCGGAGGGGGCGGGGCCTGGGGGGAGGGCGCGGGGCGGACCGCGAACACGTGCGCAGCGCGGCTGGGTGGGAAGCTTGGAGACCGTTTCCTAAATGTCAGCCTTCGCCTGCATCCTTTTTTCGACCTTCGTTCCGCCGCCTAGGCTAAGGTCGCCCTCATCCAAGGCCTCGGCCAGTAGACGCGACCTTCGCTGGTCTCTTTCTCAAACGTGTCATTTCAGTCGTGTATTGGACATCTCTATCTCGAATTCACCATGACAAAACCTTAACCGTTCCCATCCAACCACCCCAAACCGAAATTAAACAAACCTCCTTGCCTCCCTTGGGTCTTGCTTTGCCTATACATTCTCACATCCTCACCCCCTCCTCTCTCAAGTCAGAAATTTGGGCTGTCCCCTTTGACTCCTTTTTCCTGGCCTTTCCACCGTCCAGATTAATCTCCAAGTCCTGCCATCCTATCAGCCTTTCAGACATTTCTCTTGTGTAATTCTCGCACCAGAGCTCACCAGTAAAACTGGTTTCCCTACCCAGGTCCCAGATTGTGAGCCAGGGTGATCTTCCACACCTGATCCCATGGTTCACTCTCCCAGATCAGTGGTGTTCAGAACATAACAATCTACATTGGGCCTGCCCTGGATCTTGAAGTCCTTGTCAGGAATTAGAATCACAAGTAGGAATCTGAACAACAGAGATAGACTGCGTTGTAAACGTTGGTTATTCTGGGCCCCCCAGCATTCAAACTCTATCCCTATTTTGGGGAGTTCCAAAGTAAGTGGGACACAGGACCCCACCTCCCCCTCTAGAAGCCAAGTGAACCATGTGTTCCCTCACCCAACTCCTTGTGAATTGTTACATATAGGTGAGACCTAGGCTCAGCTCATCAGACACTGCCATCTAGGTTTTCACTTCTGGGGGAGTGAAAATAGATGCAGTGGAAGCCTCAGATAGGGTTCAACTGGGCGAACCAGCCATAGGATAAGGGAATCATCCTCTGATCTGTCAGAGAGCTGATGGTGTGATCCTTTCCGTGTTAATTCCTGCCTGTTTACAGAGCCTGTTCTTTATAGTTTGCTATTCTTCCTGTAATTTCGTTTTCTGCTTCAGCTAGCCAGAGCTACTTCTCTTGCTTGCAATAAAAAACCTTGAATGATACAAAGCAGAGTGATTTGTTCCCCACTGACCTGTCACAGTGTTTGCACCCTTCCCTTTGGGCTCCTAAAGCTTTTCCACTAAAATGCAATTTAAAATCTTGTCAACTAGCACTGTCTCAAGAATTTATTCATCATATCTCTTGCAGAGATTAATTGTCCCCAATGTCCATTCTCCCCTTTCTTGTTTTTAGTTGTGGCATAATTGCTATACAATAAAAGGCACAGGTCCTAAAGGTTCAGTTCCATGATTTTAGACAATTATATATACACCTAGGTAACCCACCCAAAACAAGATATAGAACATTTCTGTCAACCTGGAAAGCACCTTCATTCTTTTTTCTAGGCAATCCCTCCCCATCCCAGAAGCAACCATTTTCTGATCTCTGTTGATACAGATTACTTTGGCTATTACAGAACTTCATTAAATAAAACCATACAGCATATACTCTTTTGTGCCCCAAGTTTTTCTGCTCAACATAATGTTCTTAAGACTCATCCCTGTTGTTTGTAGGGCTGCATTATGACCTCCGTGGGCCCTTGGGACTTCATGGGCCCCTTTCTCCATAAAAAATGAAGTTAAAAAATTATATTTTATAACTGTGTTACTATAAAAACAAACATATCCATATTATATATTAATAAAATGTTTTATTCAGCCTGAAAGCTCATTTTTTCCTCCTGATTTTAAAGAAATTTAAAGAAATTTAAATTTAGATTTGTATCAGTACTTTGTTCCTCTGTTGCTGAGTGGCATTCCATTGCATGACTATCCCACAACATGTTCCATCATTCTCCTGTGGGTGGACATTTGGTTTGTTTCCTGGTTTGGGCTCTTATGAATAAGACTTGTATGAGCACTCTTGTACCAGTCATTTTGTGGGAATTTGTTTTCATAACTTTTAGGTAAATACCTACAAGAGGAAGGACCAAAGCGTTTGCTAAGGTTCACATACCATTTTCTTCTCCTACCCACTTGGTATCATTGAACTTTTTAATTTTAGTCATTTAGTGGATGTTGAATGATCAAAGGGCTCCTCGTCTTTCTTTGAGCAATAGGGCTCTAAGTTATATCTGACCACACGGCTGTCCATTTAGATTCTATATTTCCTGGTATCACTTGCAAGACAATATGACCACGTGACAATGTTTTAGCCAATGAACCTCAAGCAGAGATAATATGTACATATTTGAATCAGATTTTAATAAGGAAGTTACCTGTTTTCCCTTCATTTTCCCTTTCCTCCTATCATTAGGCCAGAATGTGAATGTGGTAATAGTGGGCCAGCTCTGGTCCTGGGAAGAAAAATACCCTAGGAGATGGCGGAGCAAGAAGTTAGAACCTGAGTCCCTGGATGACTTCAAAGAACAGAGACACTTACCTACCCTGGACTGCCTGCCCATCTGTGGGCAATGGGAGAGAAGTACACTAAAGTCATGTTGGAGCTACCATAATTTTGTTTCAGCAGCTTAGCCAGCATTTGCCCTATATAAAATCCTTCTAGTCAATCTTGTCAATGGATATTTACTGATTATTTAATGTGAGGTAAATACTGTGCTAGGCACTATGGATTTTTCCAAGATGAATCAGATACCAGATAAATTTACTCTCACCTGAGGCGGCAAGTCATGAATACTTCGGGAGCTAAATAGAAGTACATGTAAACCTTACCAAGCATCCCCAAACCTTCATAGGGTAGCACATGCTAAATGCCAAATGAGTATACACACAAGAAATGGAAACTCAGAGAAAGACAAACCCATGACTTGTCTTCTCTGACAGTTGGCTGGCATCAAGGCCCTGCGATAATGTGACATGTCCTAGACTACTAGGGCAATAGGGTAACAAACGATTATGGCAAATAGGAAAAGAAAGGCATAAGGGAAGGAGGGAAAAAGGAACATAGAAACATCTCAGGCCAGAAGACCTACCTGATAAGTCCAGGTTTGATATCCACCTTTAACTTAAGTGAAGTTTCTTCATTTATCTTGGCCTCCATTTTGTTATCTGTAAAATGGGAACCATTTTATTATGTTCATTTTGCTCCAAAGAACAGAGACACACGCATGAAAACTTGAGTAAAGATGGTGAATATTATAAGGATACACAAATTGTGTAAGGGAGACAGAATCTCAGAGAAATCTGAAAATAGGTTCTTCTGTAGGATTGGGCCTCATGGAGATGGAATGGGAAGGCAGTTCTGTATTTAGGTCAAATGGAGGGGCTTTAGGATTGGGGATCCATGCATCTTCACTTTAGAGCTATATTTTTAGTTACACCTTAATTAACACTCTTTCCATTTCAAGCAATTGAAATAGCAACTGAAAATGTTTTAAACAAAAAATATACTGGCTCATGCAACTGAAAAATTAGTGGGTGTGACAGCTTCAGACATAACCGGAGTCAGGCCCTGGCCAACAGGGCCAGGATTCAGTCCCTTTGGCTCCCTTGGCTCTGGTCTCCTTCATGTTGATCTTCTCTCATATGTCACAAGATGACCTGAAGATTGTGAGCAGCTCCAGCCCTTTACCCAGGTCAAAGATAGGAAAGATAATGGCACTTCAAGTGGGTAATCTAGGGTAAGTGTACTAAATGGATGGTGTTTGAAAGATCAAAGGTGGGGGAGGGGATAAGTTACCAAAACTTAGACAGGACTGTCTCATAGGAGCTGTGATCTTCAGTCGAAGAGACCCCCACCAAGGAGAAGTCAGGGGAATAATACCCCAACCTCTCTCTTCTCCCTCCCTTTGATCTCTTGCTGGTACTTCTAATTGGCTGAACTCAACTAGAAGTTAGGGGAACATATTGTGTAGACCAGGTTTCTTCAGGGCATAGAGCGGGGGAAGAAATGAGGAGAGTGGCTCATTCAAGACATCAAGTGCAACATCCCAGATTCAAGTCTAGCAGAAAAGGGCACAATTGTAAGCCAAAGTCCCAAGCTGTGTCTCCTTCATTCGGATTATATCCTGATCATCCCTGTAACTGAGGGAATGAAGCCTGGATGGGGCTAACTCATTCCACACATCTGGGAGTAGGGGAGGGGGTAGAGCCCCCAAGGAAAGTAGGGGTCACTATTACAAAAAGAAAGAAGCATGGATGTTAAATGGCATCTAAAGTGGCCATACTTCTCCATTTGTTATCCCATTTATACTTAAATATCTATACTGGATTTTTTTTTTTTTTTTTTTTTGCAAAGGAGACCTATAAATAAATACAGCATGACTGAGACATGTGGTTGGGTCAGAAAGGCAGGGTAGAGGCAGGGGTAGGTTTTGGTAGAGGTAGGTTTTAGAAGAAAATCTGGTAATATTCCCCTATCACAGGACAAATGTAACCATTAATTGCATTCAACAACTTAGGTAGCTGATTTAGTTTATCTATGATGTTCTTGACAGTGATTTTTTTTTCCCCCTTGAAAGTTGTGGGAGCTGAGAGCTGCTGGCATACGTGCCTATGTTTCCTGCCTCCGTGCTAATTTGTTTTTCATTTTAGAGGTGGAAGAACTGAGTCACATATCTGTTAAATATTTTATCTAAGATCAGAGTTAATCAGGACAAGTACCTAGATATCCAAGTCAATGACAAAATATCTACGGCAATTCTGGGATCTTTTCCATGAAAGCATAGTGCCTCTTAAATTAGCTGATTGTCCCATATTTGTTGTATTATTCAAATTCCCTAGCATTTTGGGGTGTGTCCTCTCAGTGATCTATGTTGAGGGAAGGTAAGTGGAAGTGTGGCTGGTTTTGAGGGGCCAAAAAAGCAATTCGGCTGAAATAGAAGGACAAAAGCATGGGGCAGGGGTGGGGGAGATGACACTGGAGAGGCAGGTGTCCAGGTTATTACAGGAAGACCTCATAAGATAAATTAACATGTGTAATTACTATTTAATTTTTAAAATTTACTAACTTGATCTCTTTTCATTGTGTATTCAATGGTTTCTTCAATTTAAGGTAGTAGCATATTACTTTAATTACTATTAGTACATTTTTTAGTACTTATTACTGCTGATACATTTCATACAGCATGTAAAAATGGGAAAATTTTAAAATTTCTTAAAAAAGAGTTGCTTGATGAGCTCTACATTTAGTGGATGAAGATGAAGCCGGAAGTAGTTGCAGAAAAGGAATAAAGACAGAAGAAGGCTTGAAGCCCTTGCCAGAATAATCTATGGCATGAAGGTGTGAACCAGAAAATCACTGCAGGAAAGAGGAGGAAGTAATGCATATGAAAAAGTTTATAAAATAACTATCATCCTTGGTATATACACTGACACCCAGCTTATATACACTGACTGGCTGTATACATTTGGTGAAGTCTCTGGTTGTCATTTCCTCATCTATAAATGGGACAGGGTGGGTAATGGCAAAACCAGTTTATTGTGCAGCTTCATGGCAAATTTCAAGTTAGGACCTGGGAGGGCAGTACAGGCTAGTAGTTAAGTGTATATGCCATGGCATCAGTGCACCTGGTTTAAAATCCCGGCTCTGCCACCAGCTAGCTGAGGGACTTTCAGCAAGTTCCTTAGACTTTCTATTCCTTGGTCTTTCCATCTGTAAAGCATGAATGATAATAATGACCTAGGGTGGAGGTTTTGTTGTGGGGTTAAGTGAGACGATCCAAATAAACCACTTAGTGGAGCATCTGGGTGGCCTGGTCGGTTGAGTGTCGGACTTTGGCTCAAGTCATAGTCTCATGGTTCATGAGTTTGAGCCTCACATCAGCGCAGAGCCAGCTTCAGATCCTCTGTCACCGTCTCTCTGCCCCTCCCCTTCTTATTCTCATTCTCTCTCTCTCAAATAAACAGTAAAAAAAAAAAAAAGCACTTAGTATGTAGCATGTAGCAAGCACTGAATAAACGTCTTATTACAAGGAAGAACTTTGTAAACTTTGTCAAAAAAAAAAAAAAAAAAAAAGAATCTAAGTACTATGACCGTGACTTGCAATTCTGACTATACGGAAACATCTCTTGAAGCTTCAGAAAAATGAATATGTCTGGGCCTTGCCCTACACCTACTGAATCAAGATCTATAGTTGTTTTTTTGTAATGTTTATTTTTGCGAGAGAGATAGAGCGAGACAGAGCATGAGCAGGGGAGGGGCAGAGAGAGAGGGAGACACAGAATCCAAAGCAGGCTCCAGGCTCTGAACTGTTAGCACAGAGCCCAATGCAGGGCTCAATTTACCCTGGCAGGACATGTTATCAGGATCCATTTCCTAATAATATCCATAAGGAGAACAAACACAGTCTTTAAGGAGACGATATAAGTGACCTGAAGCATCCTGAGCTTAACCTCTCCTTTTAAAAAGGTGTATGCTTATTATATGTCAAGTACCATTAATCACTTTATATGTATTGATTCATTCAATACCCACAACATCCTTATGAAGTAGGAATTTTTGTTTTTACAGATAAGGAAACTGAGGCACAGAGAGGTTAAGCAGCTCACCAAAAGTCACCCAGCTAAAAAGTGGCAGGGAGCACCAGTATTGGAAGGGCAGTCTTCTGGCTTGAACAACTACATCCAACGGATTCTCTCAAAGTTATAGTGTCTCTCACACATGTAACCTCTCTAAACCTCATTTTCCCTATCTGTAAAGTGTAACATTACTTCATAGGGACTTGTGAAAATGAAGGGAGAGATTATATGTAGAATACTTAGCAATGTATTTAGAATTTACTAAGCACCAAATGGAAGTCAGCCATTATTACTCATAATTTTAATATACTATCACTAATTATTCAGTTACATGGAAATATAATGCAGGTTCCAGCTTAAGTCTAAGAATCTTAAGGGTCTGAGCCTATTTTCCTGCTGCTGAAGCAGGACACCTGATTCAAGGCAACGTGGGACCTGTTACTTGCATTAACTTCTGAACCTCTGTTCCTTTCCGGCACTCGCGTATAAGGGTCCTTCGGTGCGCAGGAGGACTTGAAGAGGTACAAGGCCCATTTTGTTAGCAGCAACACAACAAGCTCTGTTCTTCAGTGCCTTCACCGAGGGACAAGCAGTGCTGCTCTGAGCGCCCCTTTAAGTAAAGGGAAAATGAATGGAGAGCAGGTGCGTCTTCTTCCAAAGAGAACTTCCCTCAGCTTTAACCTCTCAAGGAATTCAGATTGTTGGCCTGAGAAAAAGGGACAGAAAGAGAGAGAGAGGCCAATGAGAACAGTCTTGCCAGACAACACACTTGACACACACTTCTTATAAATGCCTTTTATAGGCTGTGTGAGTCTCTAGGAAGAGGAGCTGAAGCAAAGTCAAGTTGATAAGGTCGATCACAGCCTAGTGGGACTGGCGAAACCCAGGTCACATAATATTTTACAATTACTGGCACAGGCACTGGTAGAGTAGCGTGCTGAGAAAGAAAACGAAAGTGTGATCTGTAAGGCTGTGTGTGCACGATGCAGAAGACAAACCCAACGTTCAGTTTCATGCCTCCTCAGCTCCAGTTGGCATCAGCGGCCTCAATTAGTTTCTACCACAAAGCACCAGGGGGAGCCACAGAAGGCAGAAACTTTTGTTCAGAGACCAACCCCCCCCCCCCAACAACCCTCAGTGTTAGAAAATGCTCTCTGATCTTTATGTATGTATAGGGTGGTTTTTATTTGTTCTTTTTATTTTTTTTAAAAAAATGAAACGACTGTGTGCCTAAGTTCACTGGCTAATACTTTTGGGCGAGGTGTGCAGCTCACAAATGAAAAAGCTAAAATAAGTAAGCAGTGTTGGAGAATGCAGAAGTAAAGGAGATTGCAGGTGATGAGTTAATTCATTTGTCAAACGTCTATTAGCTGCTTTCTGTATGCCTGCTGGTTGGATGCTGTCAGTACCGCAATAAGTGAACACATGATTTCCCACTGAACCCATTAGTAATTCACAAGTCAAAATTTTCATAATGCTATTTGGAACCCTCCTTATCCCCTTCATCTATTCATCATTAAATGTCTTCACAGGAAGTGTATGGAAGGGATAAGCACAAAGCCCTTGGAGTAAGACAGCTGGGTTCTATTCCTAGTTCTGCCACTTTCCAGCTATTAACCTCTCTGGGCCCTCCTTTCGTTACTTGTGAACTGGGGTGGTTACAGTACCTACCTCATTGGGTGTTGTGCTTGGAACTGTGTCATGTTTAAGAGCTCAGTGTCTATTCATTCACATTCAGATATTACCCATCCTTGGGAGTCCAGCTGAAATCACAGATGGAGAGATTAGGTCCTAAGGCATTTTTTGATATAATTATGCAAGCAAATAAATTCCCTTTTGTTTCAATCAAGTAAGTGGGTCAACTGAAAGAATCCTGATACGGCAGCTATATCTATTAATTTTTAATTTTTAAGTGTTTATTTACTTTTGAGAGAAAGAGAAAGAGAGAGACAGAGCATGATCAGGGGAAGGGCAGAGGGAGAAGGAGACATAGAATCCAAAGCAGGCTCCAGGCTCTGAGCTGTTCAGCACAGAGCCCAACGCGGGGCTTGAACTCACAGACCGCGAGAACATGACCTGGACTGAAGTCGGACACTTAACCAACTGAGCCACCCAGGCCCCCCTATATTTATTAATTTTTAAACTTGTGTCAGTTTCTGTGCAAAACGCTCTACATATCTTTTAATTCTCATCAGAGCTCTATGAGGTAGAGATGAGATAGGTAGAGAGATATTATTCTCATTTTACAGATGAAACTGAGAGTAAAAACCATTAAGTAGCCTACGTAAGGTCATGTAACTAATAAATGGAAGAATCAAAATCTGAATCCATTTCTAGTCCTACTGTTATTACAAAATTGATATTCCCAGAAATGACAAAAAAATATGCGCTGGTGCAACATGTTTAGAAAGCATGACTTCAGTCATTTGAGGCTGCATGTAACAGGCACATTTCCACATCACTAGAACGTTTACTGACTTTTCCTTTCCCTGAGTATGGGTCAAGGTCACTTTCAGAGCCCCCAGATTTATCCCTCTACCTACTATGCTCTCCTATTTAGTAACTGCCTTACTAGAATGAACAGTCTATGAAGGCAGGACTTTGTGTTGCTCGCTGTTGTATCCCCAACATCTAGGATGATGCCTGACACAATATAGGTACTAAATAAATGTTTTCTGAATGAATGAATGAATGAATGAATGAGCAAATGTGGGTTAGCTTTCCTTGACCACATTGGACAACTTGGAGACTAGATTATTTGAGAACATTACACATTTGACAACATTGGTCAAAAATCCCTTTTTGTTTATTTCTTCTATATTGTCACATTGTAGGAGCTAAACATGCATGCACAAGCGCACACACACACACACACACACACACACACACACACACAATGACTCATAGATATTTCAACTCTATCCTTAAAAGGAAATCCTTTCCTGCAGATTCCATAGCAGGATCCTGCGAGTTCCTGGTTAGTACATTGGAACTGAATGTGAGTGTTCCTAAACTCTGTTCTAGGTTCCATTGGCCCCAGTACAGAGCCTAAAAGATCTGGGGTCTCATCCTAGCCTTGCTAAGGCTGATCCTTTAGCTTCACTGAACCTCAGTTTCCTCAGGTGTAAAACAGGAATGATCTCTCAGCTTTTTGTGAGGATCAAACTGTATGGTTATGAAAAGGCTGAAAAACCAAGCAAGATATATAAAGGAAGACATAAATTTAATATATACCATTTCTGGGTAAAAGAAGTTTAAAAAAAAATCTCCTTTTGATGACTGAATTCCTGATAGTGTAGCATAGGATTTGGCCAAATGCAAATTGGAAGTAATTTAGACAAATCTGATTTGGAAGAAAGCAATTAGGTTGAAATGAATTGAGTCATAGGACAATTTGGCCAAAATAATAGTTTGGTGAGAAGACTTATTTTTCTCAGTTATTGGTTTTACAAAAATTGGTTGTTTTGGTTTACTTTGGGGAGAGAGGTTTTTTGTTTTTTGGGTTTTTTTTTTTTAACATCTTTTAGCATTTTTGTCATTTTGAAGAATTTCTGTTTCTTTTCTTTTTCTATTAGGTCATTTTAAGTACTCCTTTGAGTTGGGTTTTTCATCAGTTTGGTCATTTGTTAAATGTGTTTCCTCTCAGGAGATCTGTTTAGCATTGATTAATTATTTATAACCGGGAATTCATAATTGAGTAATTATAAAAATGAATTGTCAGAACATAGTCAACTTCTTAGCTCAATCAATATTGCAGTTTCCCTTTCAAACATCTGAGCTCTGAGAAACTGGCTATTTTTGGGTCTTTTTACCACTTTTATGCAATTTACTGTTAAGAGAGAGCAATGAAGGGGAGAAAATCTTGAGTGCAGGGGAGGAAGCATTCAGGATTTCAGTGTGGACAAAGACACTATTATCTGCTAAGAGCCTTCTAAAACCTCAATTTAAATTTAAAAGTAGAGGGCAAACTCAACGGTTGAAGTGCAAAACGAAAGATTGGGTGGGAGGGAGGCAGAGAGAGGTATTTACTTGTCTTGATGTTGTAAATGCAGACAAAAACACAAGAGGGCAGTGCAGTGCTAAATATCTCAGAGCTGACTGCAAAGACTTCTAGACAAACAGGCCATTAGGAAAGAAAAAAGTCAAACTCCTAGAAATAGAGAGTGGGATGGTGTTTGTCAGGGGCTGGGAAGTGGGGGAAGTAGGGAAAGTTGATAAAAGGGTACACACTTTCTGTAAAATGGATGCCTTGGGACACAGGATTCTTGGGAGGATTAAATAAATGCATGAGAAGCGCTTGGGACAATATATCAGCAGCATGACTGATTATTATTATCGCCAAATTTTATTTTCACAACACTTACCATTTCTGAACAAAACAAGTAATACACAATCTGATTATAACAGCAGACAGTTCATTTTCATCCTCATCCTGGGTGAAAAGTGTAATTATGTTAGGCCTGCCACATTCATTTTCAGGCTGAAAAACCATGTAATGACTATGGAGATCAGTATAACTCATTTGAATATAGAAATTAGAGTTCTTGCAGAGACACAGCCGATGAAAAGGTCCTATTATATATTAAAATGTTGTTATAGAGAGGTTTATGAGGGGCACCTGGTTGGCTCAGTCGGTAGAACATGTGACTCTTAATTTCAGGGTCGTGAGTTTGAGCCCCATGGTGCGTGTTGAGATTACTTAAAAATAAAATCTTAAAAACACCACCACCACCACCACCAACAAAGGAAGGTTTCTGAGTAGAGCCAAGCAAGCCAAGAATTCATAATCCCACTTTTCTTGTCAAATCCCAATATCTGATTTAATAACAGTAGTAACGATAATGTTAGTGCTTATTTTTCCAAGCCTTCGTTGGTAAAAAGAATTCACCTGGGCATGCAACAGCCATCCTGCCATGATGTCAATCACAATAAATTACTGAGCTATGGATAAATCACTCAGCAAAAAAATGTTGGTTGGTGAGAGTTTTAGGAAAGGAGCATCAATGACCAGGAGTCACTGAAGCTCCCTTGTCCCCTGGCGATTATTGCATGAGAGTCTAACATTTAATAGCAGTAAATATTCTGCAGGTTCAGAGAGATTTCTACTATCATTACTGGCCTGGACAAATTCAGGCTGAATCAAGAATTCGTTTGGGAATTAAAAAGTGGAAAGGCTTAAGTTTATTTTCAAATTTGTACATAAACAAAAGAAAGAGTGCAAAGTTAGCTGCTAGTATTTTGGGGTTTTGTTGTTGTTGTTGATGATCTGAAATACTCTCCCTATAAGCATTTAAAAAAATCTTACTTTTTAATTAAAATGTAGCATCCTGCCTTATATCCTTTTTGGTACAAATGCAACCACACGTAAATGAATGAAATGAAATGCAAACATAGTAATTAACTTTTAAGATAAATATGTGCTTGTTGTGTTAAAATAATTTTACATGCTTATGAAGATAAAACACCCAAAACTCAAGCACTTATTTGAAGATGACATAATTTGGGCAATGTCCTTCTTTTGCTAATATAACAAAACAAAATCTCCCCACATCTATGTTAGATTGGAGATGATTCACCACCCTCCCCTGTAACTTAAAAGCATCAGCTTTAATTAGCTCTCCTTATTACAAAATCATCATTCAGTTTTCCAATAGTGTACAAAAATGGATATCAAAAGCAATATCTTAAATTTATTGTGCTTTTGTAATGAAATGCACACTGCAACTATCTGAGTTGCAAGGACTATGTAGATAGGACTATACAACACAAAGCAAAAATATGTTCTTTGTAGGAAAACTAGTGATTTAAGTCAAACCTAGTCTAATTCTAAGAGAGTGATGCTTATAAACTTGGATAACTATGATTAGTGTCCACAATAATGACTTGATCTGTCAACCAAATTCTTCAATTTAAAGCTGGATAGCCCTTTCCCTTAGAACTGCATGCAGGAGATCACATACTTCCGACAGGACCAACATGAATTCATTTGGTTGGTATTACTCTTTCCTGGGATAAGATGGACTGCCAGAGAACATTAGTTCATTCTGCGGTCATGGTTCAAAAGTGAACCTAATTGTTAGCAAAACATGCTAACTGCCAGAAACAGATGCTTTAATATGGGTAAGTCATTCCTGACCATGTAATCAAAGCTCTTGGAATGAAGATGTACCCTTGAACTATGGATTCCAGAATTCCAGAATTTAAGAGTTGGAGGAGTTTTTAAGCCATTTAGTTCTTCCTGCAGCCTCTTTTGGATTAAGGTGGAGAGTCTTCCGACTTTGTAAAACTCCCCAAGATTCTATTCCTATCTTACTAATTGATTCTATGTGCTTACTAACACAAATGTTTAAGTCCTTCCCTGGAGTCCAGAGTGAATCCGGTATGCATGTAGAAAGCACACTGAACTTGGAATCAAAAGATCTGGACTTGACACTTTTTATTTTATTTTATTTTATTGTATCTTATTAATGTTTATTTATTTTTGAGAGAGAGAGAAACAGAGCTTGAGCAGGGGAGGGGCACAGGGAGAGGGAGACACAGAATCTGAAGCAGCCTCCAGGCTCTGAGCTGTCAGCACAGAGCCCGACGCGGGGCTTGAACTCATGAATTGTGAGATCATGACCTGAGCCTAAGTCAGACGCTTAACCAACTGAGTCACTCAGGTGCACTGACACTTTCTATTTGATCTTCAGCAAATCCTTTATCCTTTCTGGAGTTCAGTTTCCTCATCTGTAAAGTAAAGCTAATAATCCTTACCTATCTCAAAGGAGGTTGTGGGAATCAAATGGGCTAAGGTATGTGACAACACACAGTAATTATAAAACTGCAGACATTTAGGAAGTTTATAAATAAGTAAAGATTTAGGGTTTATATCTTAAATAATTATGCTCCTCGGAATTTTGGCTATGATTGTTCTCAAGCTACACTAGACATACCACTCACTCGGGGATCTGACACTTAGACTTAAATTTTATAAAAGTTCCACATCCATCCACTGCTCTTAGACTCTTTTTAAGCAGTCTACGAACTGTAAGAATTACACAAATTAAGCTGTTACCAAAATGACTACTTCTATTATACGAAGAGCCAGTGAGCCACCTGTTTAAGAAAAGCCTGAGGCTAGATTGTCTAATAAGGTCTGGGTTGAGGGATTTCTTCTTGGAACCTATAAAGCATATCCTTTATGAATAAATGTAGCTTCCAAGGAATTTGACCATCCAGAGAATCACACAGCCCTAACATGCTAGTCAGCATCCCCAAAGTCAAAGGCCCATATTGACAAGCAAAGTAGCAGGGAAAATATCTGCCATTTGCATTGTGCTTTCCAGTTTTCTATGCTCTTCCATATGCTACAAATCAAATGTGTATATGACTCTCATTATGGGAACACTCCCAGTAATTTGAGAAGTGGCAACAAAAGTAAGGAAGGAAATAGCATGAGTTAAACCACTTAAATATCTTGAAGCCAAACTGGAATATAGATTAAATACACAGATGTATACTAAGTTGAGCTATGACACTAATATCAATCAAAATATAAAGCTGTGCCATTTATACAGTGGAGTGAGGATTTGTACCCACTCAGCATTTATTTTCTCCCCTCCCCCCCCCCCCCCCAATTTCCTAACTTTCCTTTGGGAAAACATTACTCATTTTCTAGCATCTATGTACTTTTGGTAGTATTGACCTCATCTTTTGGTCTTAGGGTTGGCCCTGATTGCTCCGGGGCAATCTGAATAATCCTGACCTCTGTCATTATTCAGGATTAGTCCGCTCCCAAGAAAACCTAAAAGTTTTGTTTGAAGGATACAGGAAGCATCTTTTCCTCCCAGGATGTGAATGAGAAAGTCCATAGCCCAGCACACTGCTGGGAGCCATTGTAAAACTAAGAATGAAGCCAACCCAGTGATAAATACTCAGAAGAGCAGAGCAGAGAAGCATAGAGAAAAGAGGTGGAGCCCAATCCATCTCAGGGTTTTTCAGTTATGAAAGCCAATACCTTCTCTCTGTATTTAAGCTACTTTGAAATTGATTTTCTGTCCTTGCCACACAAATCATCCTAAATGATATATTTAATAAAGTACTTTCCCATTCTATATTCTCTGGCTGGACCCTCACAATGACTTGGTAGAGTGGGTCTTAGTGTCATCTCCCTTTTACAGAAGAGGAAAGAAGTCTCAGGTTTGTGAACTGCCTAAGGTCTGTCCATACCATGTAAGTGTTAGAGCCGGAAATGGAATCAGGTGTTCTAGTCTAAAATAATTGCTTTTGAGTCGAACACGTCATGTTGAAATGCCAACCTCTGGGCAGATTTTTGAACTTTTATGACTTAGGCAACATACAAGATTTTGTAATTATTAATATTATTAAAATGGGGTAGGCACACATTATACAATCTAAAATCCCTATCTTTGGTCCTCGGGAGTACTTGGATTCCTTAATTTTTAAATCTTTTTTGCCATATGGATCCTAATCTGTGGTCTGAGTATGCTGGAATTTTCCTTGAGTGTCATGCAGTTCTTGCTCTGCACTGTAAAACAAAGAAGAAATATTGGTCTTAAATTATATGAAAGTTGGGTTATAAACATCTCATGGTTAGTGCTACTAGCACTGATGCTAAAGGCATCCCGTAGAATCTTCAAATTGCTGTCAGCCTCAAAGCATTATTCTTTGAAGACAAAGTGGGACCTTCTATTAACCTGCTGTTAGTTTTTCAGCATTTCACTCAAAGGCCCACTCTCCAATGTCATGGATGTAGAGTCTCATTATAAAAGAAAGGCTCAATTGATATTCATTCATTCATTCATTCATTCATTCAGCAAACATTTACTGAGGACAAACTATGTGTCAGAAACTACTGGAACTCAGTTACACATTTGAATAAACCAGTTTATTCTACCCCTGGGTTTACCTGTCCTTTTAATTCAGTTAACCAATAACTAGCAATCTTCTAGGTTGAGCATCTTCTAGGGAATGTGAGGGATTCAAGATGTGGTCTTTGAGAAACTCACAATAGAGTTGGAGAAAAAAAAAGAAAAACATTGAAACATAAAACTATATAAGAACAACTAAATTATATGTAACACTGAATCTGTTTCCAATTGGTAGCCACATAATGAATATCAGAGTGGGCCCAGTTTTTAGAAAAGACTTCAGGAAGATAATGGAACACAAAATGAGTATGAGTAGGGGCAAAAATCCTATTTTCCTTAATAGAGGGTCCCTAAGCCTCTAGAAGACCTATCTCCATGGATCTAGCTCCAAATTATGCTTGATGTAAGCAAAGATTCCAGATTTTTAAAAAAGCTGTTTTCATTATCTGATAATAGGACTAAAACTAAAACTGTCTTCATGGGTGGTTGTGATTAACCAATCATATGTATGAGATGAAAGTGTTTTCATCAGTTAGGATGCTTTCAGTTGTAAGTAACAGAAAACCAATTTTAGTGTTGGCTTAAATAATACAAGGAATGTATTATTTTAACTCCATAGATGGATTGAGCTTTAGGCACAGCTTGATTAGGGCTCTACCTTTCTTTCTGAATTTCTCTGATTTCTCCTTCTTTCTGTAATGGTTTCATCTTCAGATGGGCTTTCCACATTTTTCAGAGTATGATCCCGAGGTCACCCTCATCAAAATCTCCTATTGAGGTAGAATCTGGGGATGTAGGGTGGGGAGGGAGTATCCATGAAGTTTATGTCTTAATAATATTTCAGGTAACTCTTTTTTTTTTTTTTTTTTTTTTCAACGTTTTTATTTATTTATGGGACAGACAGAGACAGAGCATGAACGGGGGAGGGGCAGAGAGAGAGGGAGACACAGAATCGGAAACAGGCTCCAGGCTCTGAGCCATCAGCCCAGAGCCCGACGCGGGGCTCGAACTCACGGACCGTGAGATCGTGACCTGGCTGAAGTCGGACGCTTAACCGACTGCGCCACCCAGGCGCCCCTCAGGTAACTCTTAAGCATACTAAAGACTGGGAACCATTGGATAGCCCTGAAAGAGCAAGGCTGGAAGAACATAGTCTATTCCAGATTTTCCTGTCACAACCTTTAATGACTATAAGGCTGTAAGCTAACTACTTGGTAAAGCACAAGTCCATTTATTCTTATTCCAAAGGTACTCAGAGAGAAAGAGGTCTGAGACTCATGTTTATACATGATACTCTATAAACAAGAGCTCAGGTCTCTTGCCTGTCCCTTCGAACATTTAATACATACACCACTTTCTTCACGTGGGAATCTATAGAGGAAGAGGCAGATGGAAAGTGAACTTACAGAGAATATCATTAAAATTTTTTTATTGCAACAATGAAAACAGACTCTGGCCATATTAGGGAAAAAAGAAGTCCATTAAGTAGACACTAGGTACTCACAGAATTGACAGGAGGCTGAGGGACCAGGCTTGGAGACAATGAAGAAAGCATGAGATACCTGGAAGGTTAAGCATCGGGATCGGACACACCAATAGTCAAGCCAAAGTCTGTGAAATCTAGCACTTTGGACTTCTGGGGTAGGAACTAGATACTACCTCCTACCAAGACTACACCAAAAAGAGAAGTATCCAGAAAGGAAATAAGAAGTGGGACTACCTACAATTCAATAGCAAAAAAACCCCAAGTAACCTGATTAATACATGGGTAAAGGACTTGGATAGACATTTCTCCAAAGACAATATATGAAATGGCCACTGATGCATGAATATGTGCTCAACATCACTAACATCAGGCAAATGCAAATCAAAACCACAATGACGTATCACCTCACAACATTTAGGAGAGCTATTATTAAAAAAAAAAAAAAGATAAGCATGGGCGAGGATGTGAAGAAATTGGAACCCTCGTACAATGTTGGTGGGAATGCAAAATGGTGCAACTCCTAAGGAAAACAGTATAGAGATTCCTCAAATAATTAAAAATTAAATTACCATATTATCTAGCAATTCTACTTCTGGGTATATATACAAAAGAATTGCAATCAGCAAATGAATGGATAAAAAAATGTGGCATATACACACAATGAAATACTCTTCTGCCTTAAAGAAGAAGGAAATCCTACCGCTTGCAATAATATGGATTAACCTGGAAGACATCACTGGGGGTGAAATAAGCCAATCTCAGAAAGACATATACCTAGGATTCCACTTACATGAACAGTCAGACTTATAAAAGCGGAGTAGAATGGTGGTTGCCAGGAGCTATACAAGATGAATAAGTTCTAAAGTTCTGCTGTACGACATCGTGCCTATAGTTAGCCTGGTATTGTGCACTTGAAGATTTATTAAATGGGTGCATCTCGCATTAAGCATTCTTACCAGGATGGACACAAAAGAAAAAAGGAGGACACAAAAAACCTTTGGAAGGTGAAGGTTACATTTATTACCTTCATTGTGGTGTTAGTTCATCACATATGTCTAAACTCATCAAATTGTATATGTTAAATACGTGCAGTTTTTGTGTATGAATTATATCGCAATAAAAGGCATTTTTAAAACGTAGTGGGACTAATGGGACAAATAGTGGCAATTGCCCAGTACAGGGGCTTCTACACTAAAGCATTTTCCAAAGACAACTGAGCTTGCCATCTGAAAAAGCCACCTACCCCACCACCCGGGGACTGAAAGGTAGCATGATATGGGCAGCCAGACAGCACCACTGATGAGTACCAAGAAGAGACCTAACGAAGTTCCAAATTCTCATTTGTCTCATTTGTGTGACATGCAGGGTGTCTGAGGAATGGCTCAGGAAAGGTCCGATGGGTAGGGCTGTTTTCCCCTTCCCTGTGGTATTTATTTCTGGGATTCACATTTACTTCCAGTGAGACTAAAATTCAGAACTCGGGAGTTTTCATAGAATCCTAACAGCTCCACTCTGTAAAAATTGTTAGATCAAATAGCACATTGGTTTGAGAATGCTCTTGCTTTGGACACCCTTCTTCAAAGCCTGGTATGCAAAGTAGGTAAAAGTACACTGCTGTGATTAAAGCCGGGTGCAGCCCTGAGCCACCTGTGTAGCTTCCCCTACTTCATCCACATCCTCCCTGCCCCCGCCCGACAAGCCCCTCCAGGTACCTGTGCAACACTGCGTCATCTATTGCTGCAATAAAGCTGCATCATAAACCATTCCCCAAACTCAATGATTTGTAACAGAGGGCATTTATTTGATCTCTTATGGTTCTGCGGAATGCATGGGGTCTTGCGTGGATTAGGCAAAGAAAGCGTTACTGTTTAGGGCTTAACAGAATGCAAGCAGACCCTGCCACCTTAGTATATATTGTAAATCCTTCCATTGATGACACCCTCCTTTGGGGTCCTCTTCCTCCACTCCTGTTTCAATCAAATTCTACAAATTTATACATTGTCTACTCAGTGCTTGGCCCTACTCTGGATGCTTGAGAAGCAGAATTCAACCTATGGTGGGAGTTTTTGTCACTATTTTACACTAAAGTGTGAATGACTATTGGATCTGTTTTCCTTATAACTAGTAGGACTTAAAACCACAGAGAGCACAGATATCCAGGTGAATGAAGGCAGTAGGGCCATTTTGGGCAGAAGGGCAGGGCACAAACAGGGTTGCTGAGGGCTGCCTCTGCCTATTTTGCAAAAATCTGTGTCTTATACTTTTTAAAAAACATATTTCCCAGGACCCCTAACACAGAGCTGTATATTCAGTCCATGCTCAGTAAATACTTCACTAATTTTTTCATTTGATGAATATTCATGTACCTGCTATCTCCCAGGCAGCAGGTACTTGTCAACTGATTGATCTGTCTAGCAAAACAACAACTCCAAGAGATCATCAACATTTTTCTTGACTCACTATTTCTGAAAGGCACTGGTACCATAGGTCCAACAGGACAGGTGAGAGAGCCACGCTCTGTGAACTATAGAGTATCACACAGATAATTAGGGATTTCCATTATTATCAACATCATTATGGAGCAGATTTGAGAGGTTCGAAATATGATCCTTGCTTCAGTTTCCAGAAGTCTAGAGCCTTGTGTTGATGAGGAAGGAACTCCAAAACTATTTTTTGAGCATTTGATCTTTTACTATATTCCCCAGACACTATGGTAGCTGCCGAGGATACAGCAGTGAACAAGATATTGTATTCGGTGTCCTCACGGAATTTACAATCCAGCAGGCTGAGGGCTGAGAGCCATGTGGTGATTATAATTTCCTCCCAGGCCTGTGCTAGGGGTACAAAGATTAAAAAAAATAAAATAAGGGGTGCCTGGGTGGCGCAGTCGGTTAAGCGTCCGACTTCAGCCAGGTCATGATCTCGCGGTCCGTGAGTTCGAGCCCCGCGTCAGGCTCTGGGCCGATGGCTTGGAGCCTGGAGCCTGTTTCCGATTCTGTGTCTCCCTCTCTCTCTGCCCCTCCCCCGTTCAAGCTCTGTCTCTCTCTGTCCCCAAAAAAATAAATAAACGTTAAAAAAAAATTAAAAAAAATAATAATAAAATAAAATAAAATAAAGGAGAACAACCACAACTCCTCCTTGCTGACAGGCTACTCACAAACACATAAATAAGCAGCTAGAATGACATACTAAAATTATCATCATCCAACATGCACTGGGACAGCTACAGGCACAGAGGAGGCTGCTGTTATTTCTTTATTTTTTAATGTTATTTGTTTGTTTGTTTGTTTGTTTGAGAGAGAGAGACAAAGAGAGAGAGAGGCAGGCAGAGCATGAGCAGGGCAGGGGCAGAGAGAGAGAGAGAGAGAGAAAAAGAGAGAGAGACGGAGACACAGAATCCCAACCCGAGATGCCAGCACAGAGCCTGACGCGGGACTCAAACCCACAAACCTGTGAGATCGTGACCTGAGCCGAAGTCTGATGCTTAACTGACTGAAGCACCCTGGTGCCCCCACTGCTGTTACTTCTAATTGAAGAGAGGGTGTCAGAGGAAGCTCCAAGGAAACAGTGACATGGGCTGAGCTTTGTCAGAAGCTGAGTTCATCAGACGGATCTGTGAATGTTAAGACTTGATCCTTATGGTTAATGCTGTAGCATTCAAAATATCGAGCTTCAGAAGACACTCACGAAACAGAAACTACTGCAGCAAGGTGGATTTAGGCTTAATTTGGCTCGTTTATATGTGCAGTTATTTAAAAATTAGTTCTCCCCTGATTTTGTTAAAATGTCCCCGGTGAGACCTTGTCATCAGTAACATACCGCTGTGAGATCAGGGATTTGTTGACAAGTGTGGTTGACCGTCCACTTATTTTCCTTTTTTAACTTTTTCTCTCCTAGACAATGTTTACCAACCTGAACAATGGAAAAGCAGAGAGAATGTGAAGGAGAGGGAAAGGAGGGAGAGAGAGGGAGGGAGGGAGGAGGAGGGGAAGGAGGGAAGGGAGAGTAAAGGAAGGAAGGCGGAAGGGAAGGAAGGGAGGGATGGTGGAAAGGAGGGAAAGAAGGAAGGGATAGAGATTATTCCAGGGACATGTTGATTTGGAGATTAGAATCCAGTGCAAAAGAGACACTAGTTTTAGGGGCACCTGGGTGGCTGTCTGTTGAGCATCCAACTTCGGCTCAGGTCATGATCTCATGGTTCTTGAGTTCCAGCAGGCTCTGTGCTGTCCGTGGGGAACCACTTCGGATCCTCTGTCCCCCTCACCCACTGGCTCCTTCTCTGTATCTCTCTCTCTAAAATAAATAAGCATTAAAAAAGAGAGAGAGAGTTTTAAAAAGGAACAACGTGGCCCAGCACCAAATAAGATGTGAGACAAGAAGGTTAAAAGAGTCAAAAGAGGGGCGCCTGGGTGGCTCGTTCGGTTAAGCGTCCGACTTCGGCTCAGGTCATGATCTCATGGTCCGTGAGTTGGAGCCCCGCGTCAGGCTTTGTGCTGACGGCTCAGAGCCTGGAGCCTGCTTCAGATTCTGTGCACCCTCTCTCTGACCCTCCTCCGTTCATGCTCTGTCTCTCTCTGTCTCAAAAATAAATAAATGTTAAAAAAAAAAATTAAAAAAAAAGTCAAAATAATAACAACCAAATAAGCAGCTGAAAACAACCTGGCAGGAGTAAGTGAGAAAAGAAAGGCGATGGAGCAGTACCGAGTGGAGGTGACCTAATTCCAAAAACAGGCAGACTAGGCTGTTGCTCTACTTACTAGAAAAAAGGGGTAAAAAGCACGGAAAATTTTACCCTGTGCACAAAATCACCTAAAAATAAAGATTGCTTCAGCAGAGGGAAAGCAGTTAAAAATTGGCTGTTTGCAGAGAAAGAAAATGATCATTTCATATCCGGTGCAAAGTGAGCAGGCTGAAAACGGTCTTCCAAAGCCAGCTGAGCGCTGGAAAGCAGACCAGGGTAGTTTCCCGTCATTCTATTGAGTCTTTGACCCAGAGCTATTTCCCACTTTGATGGTGATTCCTATTTGTCCCCAGCTTGGGTTCCACTAAGAATCCCTTTTCAGCTATTTTGCAAGAGAACAGTTGGAATAGATTCCCAGGGAAGATGATGAGGCTGTCCTATTTCTGATTGCTATGGCTGACTCCTAGAAAGTTCCAACCCTTGAAATGTTTGGATCCCAGGCAGCTGCACATGGCTTGATTTTCAAATAGAGTCCTGGGACCGTCACTTCCCAGGGGATTTTCCCCTTAAGCTGCAAAGCGACAGGCGTCAAATGATACCCATCCTGACATGGGGAGCCCAGGGAGAATTTTTACGTTTCACAGCTGAACCAAACTTCACAATGCGCCAGGGAAGAATTGGTAAAAGGTTGAGCTAGAGCGACAGTCTTCAAATTGGAATACTAATGATGACCTTTAATGAAGCCTGACAGTACAATCTGTTTCTCATTGTTGCTTAAGTGCCAGCTCCCAGGCTCACCCTGGCTTTCAAGGAAGGGACAGACTGGGATAAATGGACCCTGCTGGTGAGCAGGCCTGAGCACAGCTGATCTTTCAGCCGGGATTAAATTAATTAAAGTGATTCTCCCAGCCAAAGAATTAGTCTTTTTATCTGTCATTATTGTATTGTTTATTAATCTCCAATGGAGGCTAATTGGTATCTGAGCTTTTGGGGATGAGGGATCTTGCAGTGATAGGGATGAAATTGTTCTCATTTGGAATGGGGAGAACAGGAAGGGTTGTCTTAGTTCTAGATGTGAAACGAGCTTGTTAATTTAAGACCTTCATCAAAAGACTACAACAGCCCAAGGCAAGAACAGTAAGGCAAAATGAACCTATATGGAAAAAGGTTTAGCTGTGTTGGCTTTGCCCCAGATTAGTAATCAATAGAATAGTAACTAAGAAACCTACTGAAGCCATGGCCTTGTGCCAGGGAATTAGAGGGACCCATTCATATGCCGTGGCTCCTTAAATAGGGTGCACTTTAGTTAATGAGATGCCTGAGTCCCAGGCCCCAGAGGAATCTGGAAAAAAAACTTGAATACTCTTATAGTTCAAACTCTCAATTTAACAGATAATAAGGGAATTGCAATCAGTAGTGATGAAATCTATCAAAACTGGGATCTTTCTTAAAGTGGGAAAAACATACCAGGCCAGGCTTGGAACATCCAGATGTCGGCTGGGTTCAAAGGGAATACGGTCCCTCTTTCTTCTCTGCTTTCAGTTCTACTCTCAGGATGAACTTGGAGGGATGACCCCCAGAGGGGATCTTGGGCCTGGTAAGAGCTGGGAGGAGTATATACCTCAGGCGTCTTGAGACATCCTCTCCAGGAAAAGAGAGAAGCAAAGTTCTGTTTGTATTAGTAAAGGCTTTTTAGTTTGCAAGTGACAGAAATTCAATTGTCTTTTGCCTGGTGGCCACTCCAGGAAGGTATATTCTGGGGGAATTCCTGTTCTGAGGGCTGTACTGCTTTAGCAGTTCTCTCTACTGGTTTCAATTCTGGCATCTAGGGATTGCAAACGAAGCTGATCGATTTCAAGACATTATTTTGCAAGCTTGTGATCTCTCTGGCAACAACAACCCATGAAATCAGGGTAGGCTGCTAGACTGTGAGTATTCTGTTAGTGGCAGTGGAGTAAGGTCCAAAGCCAGAAATCCTGTTTCTAACCCCTGAATAGAGACACCAGTCTTGTGGTTTGGGTCTCCTAGCAAGAATCTTGCCACTCTATTTCCCACCCTGATCACCAGGTGTCACCTTGGTGGCAAGCAAGCAAAATAATATCCTCAGGTAGGAAATAGTGCATGATCTCTTGCCTCCAGGCCACGTCCCAATGGATGGCTGTCTACGAGAGCCAGATAGGGATTACACAGCAGCAGGTGTTTAGGAGCAACAGAGAGGGTCAGGCTTCCCTGTTGCATGGTTATACTGAGGTCCCAATATTATTTTCTCTTCTATATTCTGTCTCCTTCCTCTGTTTGTACTATCCATAGGATTGCTAAAGGATTTAGGTTTTTTCCAACTCAAGGAGAAACAACCATCCCGAATTGTTGGCCACAGCAGAAAGAGTATCTCAGTAATGCCCCTTTGTTGCTGGTGCTCGCTTGGTATATGTTGGAAACTTACAAGGGCTCAGCCCTGTGGTGGAAACCTCCAACCACACCTATGAAGCTCACCTGGTAAAGGGTGGGGAAAATCCCAGGAGCTTCACACTGCAGGGGCCACTTCCAGTGCTGCTGCTGCCACTGAAGAGGAGGGGCGACCTGCTGGCTCTCATCTGGAGGGGGAGAGTCAAAAGACCTGTGTCTCACAGGACTCCCCTCTCTAAGTCATCTGGTTACAAAGCACGGGATTTTCTTAAAGCTTTTTCTGTCGGCACCCACTTGTAGTTTTAGGGTAAAGGCTGCCCTAGGGCCTGAGACAGGATATCTAGGAGAGGAAAGAGAAGCAGTCTAGGAGGTCCATTGCTGGGTTGTCCCTCAAACAATGGGTTTCCTGACACGGTACCCTGCGCCATCCCCCTTCCAGAGTCCTCTGATGGTTGCTTCACACATTCTATACAGGGTTTTAGTTGTAGCCAATGGAAGCAGTGGAGTGAAGTATGCGTTTTCCATCCTGATCAAAACTCCTCTGTGTCTTTTTAACGTGTCTCCATTATTCTTTGAACATATCCTTGCTTTCTGATTCAACAAGATACTCTGGACCATATCTTCCTTGCCCTTGCCCTTGAATCAATCATTTCTTGAAGGAGCTCTGTGGTCCCTTTTAGTAGAGAATGGTATTCAAGACCCAAGATCTGGGCACTAGATCACTGTGCTTTTGGGTTTTGCTTCTAGGCCCTTTCCTGCTCCAGGTTCTCTTGGTAGTGAAACTTTAAAAGAAGAAGCCACAGAGCCACAGACAATAGTGCTCCCTGCCTATTTAAATTCATCATTAAAATAAGTAAAATTAAAAGTTCAATACTTGAGTTGCACTAACCACATTTCATGTGCTCAAGAGCCACATGAGGACAGTGACAACCACAGAGAATATTACCAAGATGGAACACTTTTATCATTGCTGTGCCGATGTAGTAATTTCAGCCAAAAGGGTCTGCATTATCTATATTGTTTGTGAACATAAAGCATAAAACCTACATCAATGTTTTCATAATATCTAGTTATTAGAGTAAATATACAACATCACCTATAACAGGCATAGCATACAACCCAGGATTTGCTTTAGAGCAAAAGGATGATCAATACCTTCAAACAATCAAGTTGCTTTTGCGGCTAGCAGTTTATCTATTTAGTCAGCATTAGCTCTCAGAGAAGAACAGGGATTATGACTGAGCATCTTCTTAAGAATGCAGTCCAACCACTTTCTTACACCATACACAAAAGTAAACTCGGAATGGATTCAAAACCTATATGTGAGACATTAAACTATAAAGCTCCTAGCAGAAAACATAGGCAGTAATTTCTTTGACTTTGGCCTTAGCAACATTCTTCTAGATATGTCTCAGGCAAGGGTAACAAACACAAAAATAAATTATTGGGTTTACGTCAAATTAAAGGTTTTGCACAGCAAATATTTATATTAATCATTTGTAAATGATATAATTATATGAGATAATGTACATATATAAGCTTAATATAAGACTCATAAGAGCTTAATATAAGATTTGGCACTAACAGTAAGTCCCTGTTACATTTTAGCCTTTGATTCCTTTTTTTTTTTTTTAATGGAAGTTTAGTTTCTGAGTGCAAGTATATTTCTCTTTCTCCTTCTCTTATGCTGATGAATAGTAATTCCACAACTATATGGAGCCCTTTTTGTAAGCTCTCTGCATATATTATCTCATTTAAGCCTCAAATAACTCAGGGAGGTAAGTACCGTTAGATTAAATAACTTGCCTGGATCACATAGTTTCCAAGTAGTTGAGGACAGATTTTGTGCATGTAGTCTGTCTCTAGAGCCAGGACTCCTAATCCCTGTGTGAGAAATTCCAAAACAAGTTGCAAAATACTTTCACACCAATTTATTATGTGAAAAGGTTCAGAAAATACTGATCCCTAACTATAAAATCTTGTACCTCATAAGACACACCTAGCACTCCAATACCTAGTGAAAAGAGAGCTTGGGGACACAGACTCAGAAACAATGTTGATGATTAATGGTGACGAAAATGATAGTACACACACATACAGTACTTATTTTGTATCAGATACTGTCCCTAGCACTTTATGTATTCTAAATCATTCAATTCACTTCAAGGTAAGTACTATTATTATACCCATTTTTCAGAACAGGAAATGAAGCAGAGCGGTTCAGTGACTTACTCAACACTACATACAACAAGTTTGGAATCTGGGATTTGAGCTCAGGTAGTCTGACTCAGAGTCCACGCTCCTACCCCCCATATCATATTGTCCCAAATGTTGCTATTATATGGCTGGTGATGTCTGTTATTAGAGAAACCATCCAGCCATGCCTACCACTACCATGACGAACTTAAAAATTACTAAAAATTGAGGCTACAAAGTCTTTAGCCTTATCTGAAGAGAAGCATATAAATAGAAAAATTTAAAGAGTAAGTCCAGCTGCTGTGGGCATTCTATTCCCATAGGCTACTGGAATTCTTATTCTCCACCACCCCTCTCCCACATTCGCTTATTATTTCTTTATCATGCACATACACACACACACACACACACACACACACACACACACATACACACACACACAGTTCCTTCAGAAAAACTCAACCATTATGTTTGTCTTTCTGAATTATTCTGACTCTTCGCACTTGAGACTTGTAGCTCCTTGAGTTGCAATATGCCTGAAACAAAAGAGGAGATCAGTTGAAACACATGAGTGGATTTTCTTAGAAAATTGCATGCTTCCATCACAGGGCTGATGTGAGGATCAAAGTGAGAATGTGCGTGATCTCGCTTTGAAAATTCTGAAGGCCTTCAGAAATGTAAGGGATCGTTATTGTCACCACCCTAAAAACAAAACCCCAAGCTCTCTTCCCAAAACAATTCCCCCAAACGCAATAATCAATGGGACGGCAGAGTTGTGGTTCACAGTCTTTCTTTATATTGTGTTGGACTTGAGGGTTTTGGTGGGTTTTTTCATAGCCATTAATATTTGTTTCCCTGGGGCTGCACAAGGCTTACACAAGCTCTTGGAGACTGTGCAGTAAGATTCATTTATGAATTGGCCAACAGATGACACATTTTTTTTCAAGGAAATTTGCATTTGTCATTGCAATAATTGAATTCACTGCTCAACACATGAATAAATTCCTCAAAGAAGTCTTTGTGTTGTGCTTGGGATTAAGAGTACTTCTTTCTGTCAAAGCAAGGCAAATTCTGCCTGAAATGAGTTTCTTTTTGCAGCACAAAAAAAAGTGACTTGGTGAAAGGATGTTAAGACAATCCTTTGCATATGATGACCTCCGTTGAACTAACTTGCCCTATGGCCTGAGTAAAGTCAGAACATTTCCCTTGCCCTTAGTTTTCCTAACTA